AAAGTAGTTCCTTGTGTGGCATGTTTTCGCTGAAGTGAAACGACAAATTAACATAGAGTTGACAAGTACATGTACATTCCTGGTAGCATGCACTGCGACTTATTTGGCAGAGGTGGCCATAGGAAACATTACAGGGCAGAATAGTACAAGGTTTAGCCTCCTTCCTTGTTCCGGCTTGATGGTGTATATTGTTTAATTGGGCAGTGTTCAGCCAGTAGCATTTTTTTTTAACTATTACAAGCAATCAGCTAGTACAGGAGAAACAAATGGATATCATAGAACGGCACTTTCTGAAGTAGGCAAATTCCTTGTCTAGACAGGAACTTGTATAATTTTACAGAGAAATGCCAATTTTGACTTGGAGTGCCCGTCAATATTGTTATTCCAAAAAAATCATTACAAAACAAGACCGATGACTACATTGAATAATACTTACAGGGTCGTTGTATGTATCCTACTTAATCACAGAATATTATTGATTGAATAAAACCGCCTTGTACGTTTTTTGTCATTTTTACATGCGCGTCTGTTAATACGCATCCGCAGCGCATTAAAGTGCATTTAAATAGACACTTTCTACAACTAAAGGAGCCTTTCCATGGTGCGCTTTAACACTCGTGTTAATTAAGTGTTGCGTATCCGTATAAATCGCTCCCGGAGCGAGTTTGACGGCATCGTGTACATAACGCACCCAAAAACATAGTGAAAGGCGCCTTTACGCATAAGGACTACTACATTCATTGTAAAACATGTTCATGGAAAGGCACCAATATATACAGTAGCCCATTTAAAATAAAGATATGGAAATATTCCATCATTCGGCATGCATAATCAATAAGAAACGGTGCCCAGAATGCAGCTGCTGCTACACGTTAATGGAAAACAGTCGTAAATACTGTTTTGCGCCATCTGTTGAATATGAATTTCTTTTCTGTTTCCTGTTCAACTGCGACTACAGAATTTAATCTAAAAAGCAACAGTCCTTTCATTTAACTTATAGTTTAATGTACATGTTTCTTGTTCATTTATATACATACTTTTTCAATTTTATATTTATTTCATCATTTTTTGTTAATTTTGCTTGTTATACTTAAATGTCAATTGTAACGCATAACTTTTATTAATTTTCTGTTTTTTTTATAAAATTCGCTCTTTGCCAGTTTTCCTTCAGTTTACTTCTTCTCTTTTTCTTCTCAATGATGCGCCACCCTCATATACTGAAAGACTCGGGCACATTGAAATGAGAAGCAGTCTCAGTTTTAGAGGTGGGAGGAAAATCCCAGAGGAAGTCTGGGTAAAACCCCATCCACTTGTTGACCGAGCCGTACAGCAGAGATGGAAGGCGAAGAAGAACCACTATGCCAACCTGACTTGACTCCCCTAAAAAGGTTTGCTGCAGAAATATGTTAAAGATTAAAGTTAATATTAATATTTGTTATGGAGTTTAAACTTTCAAACGACATAATCTCCTATGGTGACCGAGGATTTCGATGAGTAAGCATGTAATTCCGAGGTTGTAACTTGGTCTTCATTTGAAGAGACAAGGAACCGTGATTCCCAAAGCACTTGATAACTTGAATCTATAACATATTTCCGCAGCAAACCATAAATCCATTTGGAACTGTGAGATAACGAAGATGTGTGCATATAAGATACACCAATGGTGCCAACTTCATGTCTCTGTGTGACTTGAATTGATGCATGTGCTGTGCATAAGGAAAAATATAGCTTCCTACATAGCAAGAGAGTTGCGCAATTCAAAGCTTGGGCCAGGGAGTAAAGCCTTTGTGTACATTCAGATGTCGTAGCTAGCCAAGGCTGGAGAGTGGATCGAATCCATCTCAAGGCTCAATGCATTAGTGAAAACTTTTTGTCCTCTTGTATAGTGGACAATAGTGGAGGGAGGGACGCGTTCATGTTGGAGAAACACTCAAAAGGTGGAGTTTTTTAATTCAAATGCTCCACATTTTCGGGTTTTTTCTCCATAAAGAGATTATGCAGCACGCACATCTCTTGATGCTTGTATGTTACTGATCCAAGTTTTCATCGCAACAGGAGAAAAATCCTGGCACAAATTCGCAAATTTCGCGAATGTGTGCACTCTTCAAATGATTTGTTTTTCCAAATACAGTGTGGTCTGAAGTGTAACTACGGCCTGGTAGGTTTTGATTTCGTTTTTCGAAATAGAAAATGCACAAGTCCCAATATTATAGATCTAAATTCGCAGTTTCAGACACATGGCCTTCAGAAAACTCAAATAATTCAATGAAAGTGAACTTTTTCAGTCGTACTCTCCGAAGATAAGGGCTTAAACTTA